TTACTGTGGAAAATAGATACTTGGGATAATATGTTCCAAATTACAGAATAACACAAAACAGAGTGAACTGAGCTCTGGTTTTGGTCTCATATATTCCAGTTAACTTCAGGTGCAGTTAGTCATTAGAATGTCACCTGTGTTTGCAGTGATGATACCACCACACTGCAGCATTAAAAACTGATAAACCAGCAATTATGCACAGGTAAATTTCAGGGTACTAAAGGTTATCTCATCATAAGGTAAAATTAAAGTATCAATATCTAAAAATTAAACAGTAGTCACCTGAAAATGTTACTATTTTGCTCCTTTTACATATAGCAGGTAGAAGAGCTGAGGGCAGTGCCAAGTACAGACAGCTCCTCTGAGTAGTTTACTCCCTAGAGAGGCTCAAATAGGTCTTCCACGCAAAACAGGCAGATTTAGTGCTGGAGATGCCAATTTTCCATGAGAGTTCCTACAAAACTGGTATTTATGACCAGGTCACAGTCTAGTCTTTGAAATCCTGAGATTTACAAGCAAGCAGTACACCAGTGTTATGATCATAACTGCTTCTTCTAGCTATGGCTGTTCTGTAGTGCTACTCTACCTGTGCACCTTCCACTGGTTTTTCAGCTGTTCTCAATAGTACTTAACACAGCACTACTGTCAATACTCATTAGGAACTGACACATAAAGCTGCCTCAGCTGATGGGTTTAATAGCTTTCCTGATGGCATTTATCCTTTGTCCTTCTTCCAAATCTGCAGATTTATTATCACTGCTAATTATCCATTGTATTGGGTTGATTTGTTTGCTGGACAAAGGCAATTCAGTAACACTGTTTACAACCTCCATCCCTCCAGGTGCAATTAGCTGCACTGCAAAATCTGGAATAAGAAGCCTTGAGGGGAAAAAAGGGCAACAGTTTTCCACCTCTTGCCTCAGGACAGATAACAACTTTTTTCCCTTTACTTACACTGCTCAGTATCTCCTGCAAATCAGGTTATCTGGTGGTTCAGCACCTTCTAGAGTTAGAGATTAGCTGCTGCCCAGTAGAGTAACATAAAACCCTTAGCAGCACGCCCACACCTTTTGCTTTGGCCCCGTGCTGTACACTGCTCTGCCAGATCAACTGTGGCATGTCACGCCATGAAAAACAGATGGAAGGATCCTTTAATGGCATAGGAGCTGGAGAAGTATTTAGAGCTGCAGGACAAACAGCAATGCACACAGGCCAACCTCTTCAAAGCTGCCTAATGCATTCACCTCACCACCTCCCCAGGACTACAAATAGAAATCAAGTGCCCTGCTTCCTACTTACCTCCAAACACCTCAGCATTCACATGCAGCTACATGCTACTTGCTGAAAGTTAACCTCACAGGAATAGCTTATTTTCAGCATGGTTATGATTTTCCCCCTTATTTGTAGCCTGCTGGGTGTGAGGGCAGCTCATAAAAGCATTCAAGAACAGGGTCTTGCCCTGAGGAATTTGCTTTCTAATCCTTACAGACAAGATACCCAAAATGATGACACCGATTAGAGAAGTGTGTGTGCAGCGCTTGGTGAAGCCACCACCAATCCCAGCAGCTCTGCTCAGGCCTGTGGGGCTTCTTTGTAACTGCCCTGGGAAGTGCACGGAAGACCTAAATGATCTTTGTTGCAAATATTGCTAGGTCTTTGGCTTTTCTGTCCTACACTGATGCTACATTTCTTCTGCCCATAGTCTACCCCACTGCTCGAGGTAACAGTGATCTTCCTTACCGAGCAGTCAGCAGTAAGTGCAATCCATCTTTCTTCTGGGGACACAAATTCTTGCCTAAGGTGAAAGTGCAATATTTTCTTCCCCTTCCTCTATTTCTTCAGCTCTTTTAACAACATTTCCCCATTCATATTGCTGTTGATAATATATGGCAAACTGGAAACTCTCCATCAGAGGAAGTCAAGGTCTTTCAGGGACAGGACTGAAACAGGCTTCCCACTCCTGAGAGTGATGCTGACCAACTGTTCGCATTGGCTACATTCATATAGAAAACATCTGTAAAGAGGTGACACAGCAGGACAGGAACAGGCCTGTGAACAGAACCTGTATCCTACAACCTATCAGCATGGTTTGAACTGCTTTCACAATAGCTCTCTGCTGACTAGATGCAAGAGAGGAAGATCTGTGTTTATTCAGACAGTACTCCTCCTGTGGTAATCTACTACCATGCACAATTTGCTTCACTCCCTGTCATATTAGTCATTCTGTTTGCCTTTACTGGTGTTCTTGGGCTGATAAAATTTATAGATACAGTAATAGGATTCTGAATTAAGACACAATTTAAGAACAGAGTTTCAATTGCAATGATTTGTGGATATGAGGTCATTTAGACCAGTCTACTTTCCTTTAGCCAGAAGAGATTTGTAGCTGTTATTTCCCCCTCCCTAAAGCAACGATCACATGCTGTTTGCTTCAGCACTGGATGCTGCAATATCTCAATGAATAACACACACGAAGCAGAAAATAAACAAACCCACTATGCCTGGGGATAACGCGTGGTGTGGTTCTCTTTAGGATGATTAGAAGTGAACACATGTCATAGGATGTAGGGATTGCTCTGCTGGGAGCCCAGCAGTATGGGAGCATCCAGCCCTCTATCTACCCGGGCAAGCGGCCACCGAGAAGGTTACAGGAGCCCCCAGGCAGCCCCAGCACAGGCACTGGCCACTCTGGCTCCTGCATTCACTTGGCTTGCATTTTTCCCCCTCCCCCCTGTAAGATAGAGACACCTCACAGATTCTCAGGTCAAATCCCATACCCTTTCACACCTAGGAAGTGTCACTGAAGACAGGTTTCCATCACAGAACTAGTGAGCTTAACTTGGCTTTGCCAGCCTTTCACCAGCCCTCTGCCACTGAAACCACAAAAGAAGCCTTTGCACCCAACACAACAGGCCACACAATTCATGGCTTATAAGAAGGTCCCACATGGCTTTCACCAGTGGGCATCAGCCATCCCTTCCTACTGCAATGTCAGGAAAACAGATAAAACCCTTTCCTTCCCTTTTACCCAGGAGTAGCCTCCTGTACACCTCAAGCAGAGGTTCCATCTGATGCCATAACAACTGCACAGATCAGCATCTTTGGTAGACAAGAGACTAGCATGCCTGCAAGACAGTTTTCAAAACAAAGACTGCCTTGGAATAGGTCTCACCAATTTTTCTGCCTTTGGTGGTGGAGAGAAGGCAGGACACTGAACAGTGCTGATCTTTAGAACGTGACTCAGCCCTACACTGCATCTCAAGGCAATGACTACCTGCCCATCCCCACTGGAAGCAAGCAAAAACCATTAAAAAAAAAAAAAAAACACCTCCATCTTCTCAGCCTCTTTTATGCTTCTCTGGTTCAAAGTAATTTTAAGCAAAAATGCAAATCCTCTTTTCACCAAAAGGGTGTTTCAGCAAGAGAACACAGCCTGAGCTCTGCATTTGTGATAACACTGAACAACCAATATACCAACAAATGTCAGACTACTCACTTCAAAGAAGTCAGTCACCTGTTCTCAGAACCAAAGCCAATCCATTTTGTCCGTAACAGCAAGTCTCACAGGCAACTACTGACAGCCCACATTATCATCTCTATCTATTGCACCTCTCTGCATGCAAATGATATCCTTGCCTAGGCAGTGAGATTAATTTCTGAGAAAAATATACATCACCAGATTTAAACAGGCTTGTTTACCTTGAACTCAAATTCAGGAAAATAAAGACAGTGACACAGACCTTTGAAGGGTGATCCCTTCTCCCATCCACCCAGTTCACTGCCTTTGGATTTCTTCTTTCACCACAGACATACTTGTTATGGAGAAAAGTATTCTGTTTCTACTACTTTATGAAAAAGGATTTTCCATAAAAGATAAGCAAAAACATCAGAAAAGACTTCTATAATGGAGGTTTCACTCAATAAACAGGTGTCTGGGAGATTATCTCACCAACTTAACCAAAGCTGCAAGCAGCAGAACAATTCTGGGATGACTAAAATGCCCCTTTTTTAAAGTAAAAGCCTTTTATCTGCCAAGCGACACTTCCTGCTCTAAAGGCTATTCTCCTTGGTAGTTGTCAACTGTGTATTAATCTAATTCATATAAGCCTTGGAAATAAATACTTTCATGTGCACAATCTTTTGGGAAACTCTGATTCCCTGAGGCTTTAAAGAGCAATTGTTGCTTATCACCGTGGAAATTTCACTTGAATTTAAAGCCTGGTCACAAGGAAAAAAAGAAAGATACATCAAATATTTCAGCGATTAACAATTTTCCCAGTCTTTATCATCCTCAAAGGATTTTCATCTGATTGGTAGGGAAACTGCTAAAGAAGAAAATAAAAAGAAAGTGATTTGACTCAGTATGGCAGTTTTTCTGTTCCCAGGTCCTGTATTTGCTACTCTTGTCCAAAATAAAGGCACTTGGTGCTAACAGTCCCTTACAATGAACAGCAATATCAAACACATTAGGCCTTATTTTAGAAGGTGTATATGTTAGAAAAGACAAATGCTACTTAACTACAAGGAGATAGTTAAACCCCTCCCCAAAGAGCTCTCATAACAAAACCACTCTGTGTGGGAGAGGCAAACCACTGCCAGAGCACTTAAAGAAAAGCAGGTAACTGAAGTCTTGCTACATTTAAACTCCATGCCTGTGCAATAAAAACCTGATTTTAAAAGCCCTGTAAACAGAGAACCTTTCTGGTGCCCTACTGTCTGTCATTGTGCAGAAATGGCCCCACTAAAGCAGGCAATGGCTGTTTTGTACGTTGTTGAATAACGTGGGCATATGATAAGTGGCATGGCATCCATGTTAAAAGCCTTCTAGTGACGGAGGCTTTCAATCCTATTCATAGTGTTCAAGGAGGAAAATAATGTATTTCAGTGACTAGGAGCAAACTTCAGAGTGGATTAACTTCAAATCAATTGAGATTCACCCCACGTCCCCAACAGCTTTGTGTGCTACCACATCAGAAACATGCAAAAACCACCAACCATACCTGAGTATGAACTGATCCACCGTAGAATTGTTGGCAATAGTCACATAAACATTCACCACCTCTCCTTGTTTGACAGGCTTGGAGGGCAACCAGACGACGATATTCCCGTCCAGCCGCAGCTCCGTTAGCTGAGAAGTCTCCTGGCCTCGGTAGAGGCTGATGGATCCAATCCTCTGTAAGTGGGACATGGTTTCATCCATCCCATCTTTCCCTGGCCGGATAGCATTTCCCTTCCTGACATCCTCAGCAGTGCACTCCCCCTTCTCATCTCCCGGTTGAATAGTATAGTAAAGCTCCACAGGGCTCCCTTCAAACTGCTCCGGTGGCTTCTTACGGCCTGTGACAACCGTGGGGGGGCTGAACCAGCTCGGCAGGAGCTCCAGCTCTGCCACACACAGGCCCAGCGCCCCCGGGAAGGCGAGCCCCCGCAGGCAGGGCAGCCGCTCCGTGCTGCTGTAGTCATCCCAGTCCCTGCCCACGATGTAGAACAGGACCTGCACTTTGGGCTTGCTCAGGTAAATTTTGTCACGCATGATGAAGGCCTGAAGTTTCCAGTTGTAAGTAAACTTGTTGGCAGATCCAAAGAAGTTGGAAGTTAACATTAGGTCCTGGGGCACTACTTGTTCCACGGAAAAAGGTCCATAGCTGGCATTTAATATAGGTGGTCTCTTGGCTTTGTATGGGAAGAACGACTCCACCCTGGACTGCAGACTGGAATTTCTCATAAAGTCCTGGTTGGCTTCTTTGAGAAAGAAAGATGTCTCAGCACTGAAGATCCGATAGCTCACAGGTAGGTATGTTGGTAATGAAGAAAATCTCTGGTTATTGTCCAAGACCCCTCGACACTCTGTCACTAATAAAAGAAAAGGCGATGTAAGTTAGATCAAATCTGCTTATAGGTTCAAAGGGACATTTACTACAACTTTGGTGGAGCTACCTGATAAGTTAGAGACAAGCATTATTCCATACAAAAAAATATTTACAATGCAGCTACATGTTTAGATGTAGCTACTTTAGCATTACGCTCACAAAAGCAAAGAATGCTTTTTGAAGTTTTATTGATACCTTCCTTTTGTCTATGATAAATGTTTTGTCACACAGATGATGCATCAAGGGCTGTCTGCAGCATGATCAATTATTCCTGCTCCTGGAGGGAGTGGGAAGAGGAAGGTTCACATGGCAGGAGCAATGCTTGTCCCTGCAGGCGTTTTACATGGCCAAACTCCACCACAGCAGTGCTTTACTACTGCACAGCAAATCTAGAAAATACTCATTGAGCTGTTTGATTATCACCTGGATGAGGAATAAACAGGTAACTTCTCACTCATGTGCAGTGTGTCACCTCCTTAAAACTGAGCATAACCTAAGTTTGCACACACCAAGTCTCTTAAGGGCTGGCCATAAATCAAAGTCAAAGCCTTCCAAAAGCAATTCTGTTAAGTAAACAGTTTATTTTAAACCACCCACGTGCTCACCTTCCCCACTCTTTTCCTGGTTACACCATCCCTTTCTAAACTTTCTGACCACTTAGAAACTCCTGTCTTGCCAATCTTTCCATTCAGGTATAGCAAGCACAAGGTATCCAGTATGTCAGTCTGGGTGAACCACAGCCCCCAAAAGGACTGTTCACCACCCCTGCAGAACATTGGCCTGGAGATCAAAGGTAGTTTCTGTTCTACAGCCAAAG